GACAAACATCAACTTTAAAAAAAACCTCATAAATTATAAATCATAAAATTAAGTTCATAAAATATATATAATAAAACAAATTTTAAAAGATCAATATTGAATAATACTAAACAAATAATATTTAAAAATTATAAATAAGACTAGGTATTTTTCTTAAATTTCAGACTTCTGATAACTGCAGTTTTTTAACTGAATATAAGTTTTATAACATATTTTAAAAGTATTTAACAAAATAATATATACTGTAGTCAATTTTTTAATAATTTAATGTGAAATGCTCTCATACATTCTGGACATACAGCACATTATGAATCACTAGAGATTTCTAAATCCAAAAAAAAAAACTATATCTTTATTCCTGAGATCTATTTTCAACTAGAAAAAAAACTATTAATATAAATTGTATAAATTGTTATTATTTTTCATATAATAGGCACAGTGTTATCATTCGATACCACATGGTAACTAAGCAATTTCGAATACATAACAACATTATATTGTTTCAATATTGACAAATATGAATAGATCGTACTATTTTATGTAATAAACGTAATTAATTATAAATATATTTACATTATTTGGTCATTAATTATAATTATATAATTATATATAAAAAAAAAGTAAAATTTGACTTTTTCAAATGCACAAAACAGTTTCGCGTTTATTAATATATCTCTTTCAATGATAACACAACCAAGTAGACCGATGCGCAACGGTTCGTACATTAAACGAAAACAATAATAACATTGCTACCACGATTTTTCGATTTTATTTAAATTCTACAATTTAGTGATATTATATGATGCCACCGTACATGAAGAGGTTAAACTGTTCTTCGTTGACATCGAACTCTTTTGTTCTCAAACGATCTATGCAGAGGTTTTTTTTTCCGTTTGTTATCATATTCTTGGTGTATTCCTTTTAAGTGTACAGCAAAAATCTGCCATCATATTAATATTCCAATTTCCTTGATATCTAGTTTCCATTTCACTTATGTCTTGATGGAATCTTTCTCCCTGTTCTTCACTGTACTCTCGAAGATTTTCAGAAAAGTGGTCCACGTGAGAATCCATGAAATGTAGTTTGAGATTCATTAAGCAACCTAAATTTTTGTAATTTGTCACCAATTCTTCTACTAACGTCTTGTAGTTTTCGCTTTTTTTATTTCCTAAAAAATTTTCAGACACATTTTTGAAACTTACCTAAGCTGCTCTCTTCGTCTCGTTCATTTTTCTTGTAAAATTTGCATCTAGAAATAGAGATCGAATTTGGGGTCCATAAAAAATTCCTTCTATTAATTTTGCATCACTTATCGCAGGAAACTTTTCTTTCAAATACTGGAAACAATCACCATTTTTGTCAAAAAGCATTGATATATTGTTTTATGAGACCTAGCTTCATGTGAAGTGGTGGTAGCATATATTTTGAAGGCGGTATCAATGGTGCTCGTATAACATTATAAGCACTTAGATTAAATGTCTCTCTTGTTGGCCATTCTTTCTTCACATAGTGTATTATCAACTAAATTATTAATTATCAATTTTATAATAAATTTAGTTACTATAATAAGTAAATAAACCAAAATTTAAAGCATAACAATAATATGGCCATCTTCAAATCTTAAAAAAAAAAAATTAATTTTTAAAATTTTTTTTATAATATCGAACCATATCATAAAAAATATTTAAAATATAGTCCTATATTTTAAAAATTGATTAAAACAAAAAAACTATAAAACGTTTTGTAGATCATAAGTCATAAGAGTTGTCAGTTAGATCTGTTCAAATCAACCACTGTATACACTTATAACAAGCTTATTTGTTAAATAATGATTTACTTATGCAAAAGAATTTATTATATTTAGTCTATTATAAGTTTTTGGGTCGATATTTCAAAAGTTATGAACAATATTATATCTAGATGAGAGGAATACTATAGCCGAGAATTATTTGGCTATTAAAGCATCCGCACTTTACTTCAAGTTTTAATTATAATTTTTATAATTATGAATATCAATAAATAATTAAATACTTCCGTTTGTACAACCAACAAATAATTGTGTGATTCACTATTCAGGTTTAGATTTTAGTAATAGTTGAAAGATTTACTTAAAAATAAGCTAAATGTAATTATAAAACACAAATTTATAACTAAATTAATTTTTTTACAATATTTAATGTATTTCTATTTGCACTGGTGTTGGAGGTTCTTCGTCTATTGCTTTAAATTCCAATTCTAGATTCAATAAAAATTTATAAGACTATAAATTATATTTTAATTAAAACTTTTTAATTTTAAATACCTAGTTCAATTAGTTCCTCTGGTTTTGGTATAAATGTTTCTTCAGTAATTGGATCAAATTTAAATCCCAGTTGAAAATACTTTTCTAAAATTTCTTTCATGATATAAATTTTAAATTTTTTAATTAAGAATTTTAAAAATTTTAACTTTACTCCCTGTTTAATGCCTCTATATTCTTCAACCCATTCATTCCATAAATAATTTGTATCGTATGGTACAAATTCACAATATTTATCAGTAGCAAGTTGTAATTGTTCTATTATTCTTTTAAAAAATGTATATGCAATTTCAAATGACCAAGAGTTTGTAGATCTATCATCACATGATAGACTCGGATCATTAAATTTACCAAACATATTTTCTATTCTATCTAATAAAGGAATTATCATATACGGTTTTTTGTCATATATTTTAAAATTGGCCAATGGTAAATGATGTAATAAATCTAAAGCATCTATTGCACCTTTCATCAATGTTGCTATTGGAACAATTAATTTGGCTATTATGTTTATAAATTCTTTAGTGTAAATGCATCCATTTATTAAGTCAGTGTCTTCTTTATTTTTGTTTATACAAATTTGTTGCCATTGGACAATAATTGAAGAAATATTATATATAACTTTTGCGTATGTGTAGCCTAGAAATACTGTCAATAATCGTATTTTTGAATCACGTTTTTGAACAGATGTAGATGTTTCAATCAGACTTTTAAGATAATAACTTTTATTATTGTATTTTATAGAGCTTACATCATTTAAATTCTTCCATCCTGAATATTTTAGTAATTTATCTAGTATATTAGTTTGTATTTGCACTGGTATTGGAGGTTCTTCGTCTATTGCTTTAAATTCCAATTCTAGATTCAATAAAAATCTATAAGACTATAAATTATATTTTAATTAATATTTATTATTTTAAATACCTATATCAAATTGTTCCTCCGGTGTTGGTAAAAACGTTTCTTCAGTAATTGGATCAAATTTAAATCCCACTTGAAAATATTTTTCTAAAATTTCTTTCTTGATATAAATTTCAAATTTTTTGGTTAAGAATTTTAAAAATTTTAACTTTACTCCCTGTTTAATGCCTCTATATTCTTCAACCCATTCAGTCCATAAATAATTTGTATCGTAAGGTACAAATTCACAATATTTATCAGTAGCAAGTTGTAATTGTTCTATTATTCTTTTAAAAAATGTATATGCAATTTCAAATGACCAAGAGTTTGTAGATCTATCATCACATGATAGACTCGGATCATTAAATTTACCAAAAATATTTTCTATTCTATCTAATAAAGGAATTATCATGTACGGGTTTTTGTCATATAATTTAAAATTGGCCGATGGAAAATGATGTAATGAATCTAAAGCATCCATTGCACCTTTCATCAATGTTGCTATTGGAACAATTAATTTAGCTATTATGTTTATGAATTCTTTAGTGTAAATGCATTCATTTGTTAAGTTGTTGTCTTTTTCATTTTGATTTTTACAAATTTCATCCCAGTTGACAATAATTGAAAAAATATTATTTATAACTTTTGCGTATGTGCAGCCTAGAAATACTGTCAATAATCGTATTTTTGAATCACCATTTTGAATAGTTATAGGTGTTTCAATCTGACTATTAAGATTATAACTTTTATTATGATATTTTATAGAGCTTACGTCATTTAAATTTTTCCATCCTGAATATTTTAGTAATTTATCTAGTTTATTAATTTTTTTTTTTGTAGTATTATATGCTTTTGAATATAAAAACACATAAAATAATAAACAACTAAAATACACTAGTTTCAATGAAAACATTTTGAAAATGATTATTATTATTTATCGTTGATTTTTTTGAACAGAAAATAATTCGACAAAGTGTCAAAAGACACGTATTTAATCGTTTCTACATTTAGAAATAATAAAACTAAAAATAATGACATATGTATAGAGGATAGTATAATAATTTTTTATAAATAGAACTGTTGCCTCGAATACTTTTCATGTGCCAAAGTGTCAAAANCATTTTTGTTTATACAAATTTGTTGCCATTGGACAATAATTGAAGAAATATTATATATAACTTTTGCGTATGTGTAGCTTAGAAATACTGTCAATAATCGTATTTTTGAATCACGTTTTTGAACAGATGTAGATGTTTCAATCAGACTTTTAAGATAATAACTTTTATTATTGTATTTTATAGAGCTTACATCATTTAAATTCTTCCATCCTGAATATTTTAGTAATTTATCTAGTATATTAGTTTGTATTTGCACTGGTATTGGAGGTTCTTCGTCTATTGCTTTAAATTCCAATTCTAGATTCAATAAAAATATATAAGACTATAAATTATATTTTAATTAATATTTATTATTTTAAATACCTATATCAAATTGTTCCTCCGGTGTTGGTAAAAACGTTTCTTCAGTAATTGGATCAAATTTAAATCCCACTTGAAAATATTTTTCTAAAATTTCTTTCTTGATATAAATTTCAAATTTTTTGGTTAAGAATTTTAAAAATTTTAACTTTACTCCCTGTTTAATGCCTCTATATTCTTCAACCCATTCAGTCCATAAATAATTTGTATCGTAAGGTACAAATTCACAATATTTATCAGTAGCAAGTTGTAAAAGTTCTATTATTCTTTTAAAAAATGTATATGCAATTTCAAATGACCAAGAGTTTGTAGATCTATCATCACATGATAGACTCGGATCATTAAATTTACCAAAAATATTTTCTATTCTATCTAATAAATATTTTATTATGTAGGCCTTTTTGTTATGTATTTTAAAATTAGCCAATGGTAAATGATGTAATAAATCTAAAGCATCCATTGCACCTTTCATCAATGTTGCTATTGGAACAATTAATTTAGCTATTATGTTTATGAATTCTTTAGTGTAAATGCATTCATTTGTTAAGTTGTTGTCTTTTTCATTTTGATTTTTACAAATTTCATCCCAGTTGACAATAATTGAAAAAATATTATTTATAACTTTTGCGTATGTGCAGCCTAGAAATACTGTCAATAATCGTATTTTTAAATCACCATTTTGAATAGTTATAGGTGTTTCAATCTGACTATTAAGATTATAACTTTTATTATGATATTTTATAGAGCTTACGTCATTTAAATTTTTCCATCCTGAATATTTTAGTAATTTATCTAGTTTATTAATTTTTTTTTTTGTAGTATTATATGCTTTTGAATATAAAAACACATAAAATAATAAACAACTAAAATACACTAGTTTTAATGAAAACATTTTGAAAATGATTATTATTATTTATCGTTGATTTTTTTGAACAGAAAATAATTCGACAAAGTGTCAAAAGACACGTATTTAATCTTTTCTACATTTAGAAATAATAAAACTAAAAATAATGACATATGTATAGAGGATAGTATAATAATTTTTTATAAATAGAACTGTTGCCTCGAATACTTTTCATGTGCCAAAGTGTCAAAAGACACGTATTCATTCTGTTTAATACCACTTTAAAAATAATAAGACTAACATTTATTACATAACATCTGTGGTATTATAATAATTTTATTTAAATAGATTTGTTACCTCCTAGACTTTTAGTGAGTTACCCAAAAAATTTCTGTCCTGCTTAATAAAATAAATTAAAAGTGACTTAGGGTGAGTAATATAATAAATAAATATATTTGATATCTATGGAGTATATTTTAAATTTAAACTTTAGAAAATTTTACTTCAGTTCCATTTCTTATATCGTTGAGCATATATTGGTGTTGGAATATCTGTTCTTCTGATATGTGTACGATCAAACATAAAAAAAAAAAATTATATATAAATAAATATAAAATAAATAGTACGTATACAGAGGAACTGCACAGTGATTCTAAATCTATTAGAAGTGTATCTATATTCTTATCACATAATAGAACAGGGAAAATAACGCTTTTCTAGGAAAATTACTTAGCGTTCTCGGATTTTCAAATTTTTTTTTTCAACGAAAGTGTTCAGTCACGTGACTCGGGAAAAATTATTGGCGGAGGTCGGAAAATTTTTGACGCTCGCTCGCTTGCGTTTTAAAATTTCGACCATTTTCGAGAAAAACGCTCGCTGACACCAGCGTTTTACGACTAAGATTTGAAAATTCCACCGGAAAATAAAAATGAAAAAAAATAACGCCATTTAAAATGCATGCAATTATAATTAACTTACTTCTTTATGATATAATGATTAAATAATTAAATCAAACATTATTATGAGGTGTAATTAAGTGTAGAATAATTATTATGAAAAATACTTAAAAAAAAACATAGAACAGGGGGGTCGCAGCACAGTGGTGACGTAGCATAGATGGTTCAAGTATAATGATATCTGACAGTGATTAAAATCACTATAAAAAAAAAAACGCTTCGTTGCAAATCTTAAGATAGTGTTTAATTTTTAAATATTGTTGGATTATTCCAAAAGCCACATGAACTACTACTTTCTTATTAATATCCTAATTATGATAAAGTATGTCGAATGAAAAAGGGATAAAAATATTATTTGTCATAAAAAAATTGTGTTGATCCATATACTTTTCAATAAGTTCTAGCATTATAAAGTTAAAAATGAAAAAATAAAATCGAGAATTTTCACACAAAAATAGCACTTGATATCCATTTTTACCGTAAAGACAAAATAAAGTCCCACATTTTTTTTTAATATTAAAGTATATTACATAAGCTTTAATTTAAGATATATATAAAAGTGTCAGTATTTCCAGAACACTTTCAAAAGTTAAGTTGAAAAAGTTCAACTTTCTATATGTATTTTTCAGATTTGAACCCCACCCCGTATATAAGGAAATAGTCTCATTTAAAAAAAAGGTTAGTCGAATGAAAGATGTATATAAATATGTATATATTACTTTTCATGAAAAAATTGTATTGATCCTTACATTTTTTAAAAAGTTATAGCATTTTAAAGTTGAAAATGTAAAATATAAAATCGAGAATTTGAACACAAAAATATTATACGGTAGCTATTTTATTTCCATCATAAAGTATATTACATTAGCTTTAATTTAAGATATATTTAAAAGTGTCAGTATTACTGGAACACTTTCAAAAGTTAATTTTTTGTGAAAAAGTCATTTTGATTCCCTCCCTGTCGAAGCGTCAAATTTATAAAAAAAATATACCGAATAGTAGGTAAAGACATTATGCATCTATAAAAAAAATTTATATTAATTTGTTCTTTTTTGATAAAAGTTATAGCAGTTTTAAGTAAAAAAACATTGAAAAAATGTAGAAAATATACGATTTTTAAATTTGTAACTTTTATGGATATTTCCCCCATTTAGGGGAACGAGGGAAATTTTTTCAATTATTGAGGGTAACGTCTTTGACTAGATACGAAAAAAGCAACCGCGATTCATTTCTGATACTTAATTAAAATTTTTATAATTGTTCATCTAAATATTATATTAAATATTTCACTGTGTATAACTAATAAATAATAGTGTTATTGATTATATTTATGCTTTAGTAATAGTTAAAAGATTTACTAACAAGTAATACTGTAAATGTAAATAATTATAAAACATAAATTTATAACAAAATTAATTTTATTACAAACTTTAATAATTTTCAATTTGTACTAGCCTTGGGGGTTCTTCATTGTTGCTTTAAATTCCAACTCTAGATTCAAGAAAAATGTATAAGACTATAAATTATATTTTAATTAATATTTTTTATTTTATATACCTAGTTCAATTAGTTCCCCTGGTTTTGGTATAAACGTTTCTTCAGTAATTGGATCAAATTTAAATCCCACTTGAAAATATTTTTCTAAAATTTCTTTCTTGATATAAATTTTAAATTTTTTGATTAAGAATATTAAAAATTTTAACTTTACTCTCTGGTTAATGGCTCTATATTCTCAACCCATTTATTCCATAAATAATTTGTATCGTAAGGTACAAATTCACAATATTTATCAGTAGCAAGTTGTAAAAGTTCTATTATTCTTTTAAAAAATTTATATGCAATTTCAAATGTCGAAGAGTTTGTAGATCTATCATCACATGATAGACTCGGATCATTAAATTTACCAAAAATATTTCCTATTCTATCTAATAAATAACTTATTATGTAGGCCTTTTTGTTATGTATTTTAAAATTAGCCAATGGTAAATGATGTAATAAATCTACAGCATCCATTGCACCTTTCATCAATGTTGCTATTGGAACAATTAATTTAGCTATTATGTTTATGAATTCTTTAGTGTAAATGCATTCATTTGTTAAGTTGTTGTCTTTTTCATTTTGATTTTTACAAATTTCATCCCAGTTGACAATAATTGAAAAAATATTATTTATAACTTTTGCGTATGTGCAGCCTAGAAATACTGTTAATAATCGTATTTTTGTATCACCTTTATGAACAGATGTAAGTGTTTCAATCAGATTATTAAGATAATAACTTTTATTACAATATTTTATAGAGCTTACATCACTTAAATTTTTCCATCCCGAATGTTTTAGTAACTTATCTAATTGATCCATTAAATTTTTTGTAGGCGTATATGCCTTTGTATGTAAAAACACATTAAGTAATAAAAAAATTAATTTGATAAGTTTTAATGAAAATATATTGAACATGATTATTAATATTTATCGTTGAAATTTTTTGACAAAATATAATTCGATGATGTGTCAAAAGACACGTATTCATTCTGTTTAATATCATTTTAAAAATAATAAGACTAACATTTATTATATAACATTTGTGGTATTATAATAGAATTGCTGCTTTGTAATGTTTTGTATACGGATTAATTTAAAAAATGAAAATATGAAATCGGTAATTTTAAATATTTAAACACTATAATATAATATTTTATAATGGCAGTCATTTGCGCATAGAAAATAAATCATTGTGTTGTTTAAACTTGTATGCTTTGAAGCGAAACTGAGAATTAATTAACATTACTATGATGCGTTTTTTTTTTTGTGTGTCTTTTACCACTTTTTCTCACCTCTCACCGAACCGATTTTTTTCAACAATACGTCAAAAAATCACGAATCTTATCTAGTCATTATCCTTGAAAATTTTAAAAATTTCCCTCGTTCCCCGTAAATGGGGGAAATCTCCAAAAAAATTACAAATTTATAAAACGGTAATTTTCGACTTTTTTTTAATTTTTTAAAAATGACCAAATCAATATAATTTTTTTTTATTGATACATGAGGTATTTACCTATCATTTTGTATATATTTTTTTATTAATCTGACCCCTTCTAGACCACAGAAGGGGATTCTAAATGACAACTTTTTCAACTTAACTTTTGAATGTGTTCCGGAAGAACTGACATTTATATATGTATATATCTTAAATTAAAGCTAATGTAATGTACTTTAATTGGAAAATAGTATCAAATAAAACATTTGAATAAAATGGTTATTATACTTTTTAATATAGAAATATTTCGGTCTTAATATTATCTACGCGGATGTGTTTTTGAATTATATTTATCTAGAATTTTTTGGTTACTTATTTTCTTATATGTAAATATTTGTTTTTTTATTAAAGATATAGATAATTGTAAAGATGATAGAAATATTAAATTGTATATTTGAAATCACAATAATTGGTTTCGTAAAATTATATTTTTGTCACTAATAATTGAAAATTTCTAGTAGACTACTTTATTCATAATACATCAAAATAAATGCTTAAGTAAAATATATTTTAATGAACTTGTAATTGAAAGAGCTACTAACCTGCATATAATTTAAAAAATGAGGGTTCATATTGTTTTTTAATAATTCACCAATTTTTTAAAATTAAAGACTATCTACAGATTTGAATCTGTTATAATACCATATGTATATTATGATTGTGATTTTAATCACTGTCAGATATCATTTATACTTTTCGTCTGTATAATGGTATACAGCCCCACTATCCCACGACCTCACACAGATACAGATTCTTTTATTTTAACTTTAAATAAGTAACGCAAGCTTTATTACAATAGGTATTTCAATCACGATCAGATATTGTCTTTATTTTTTCCCATTGTTCAGTGCTTTTTTATTATGCATTATATATGTAAAAATCATACATATAGATATGACAAAAAATTAAAATTTTTATAATTCCATATTTAACTATTCATATTTGTGTTTTAATAATAATTAAAATATTTACTAAGCAATACTGCAAATGTAATTAATTATGATACATAAATTTAAAACAAAATTAATTTTATTACAACACCGAATAAGTTTCTATTTGAACTGGCGTGGGAGATTCTTCATTTATTGATTTTTAATTCCAAATCTAGATTCATAAACAAATTAAAAGACCATAAATTAAAATTTTAGTTATTATTTTTTCATTTTAAATACCTAGTTCATATAGTTCCTTTGGTGTTGCTATAAACGTTTCTTGGGTAATTGGATCCAAATTAAATCCCAGTTTAAAATACTTTTCGACAATTACTCTCTTAATATAATCTTTAATTTTTCTAGTTAAGAATTCAAAAAATATTAATTTTACTCCATGATTATTAATGGCTCTATATTCTTCAACCCATTGATTCCATAAATAATTCGCATCATAAGGTATAAAATTACAATATGTGTCAGTTTCAAAATCTAATTCTGTAATTATTTTATTAGAAAATGAATTTACGATTTCAAATTTCGAAGAGTTTGTAGATTTACCATTACATGATAGGCTCGGATCATTCAATTTGTCAAAAATATTTCCTATGTTATCCAAAAAAGGACTCATCATGTAGAACTTTCGGTGATACATTTTAAATTTAGCCCATGGTAAATGATGTAATAAATCTAATGTATCCATTGCGCCTTTTAACATTGTAGCTAATGGATCAATAAATATAGCTATAGTATTTATGAGTTCTTCAGTATAAATGCATCTATTTATTAAGTTTATTCCTTCTTTATACATTTTTTGCCAGTTGATAATGATTGAAAAAATAATTTTTATAACTTTTGCATATGTGCAACCAAGATATACAGTTAAGGCTCGAATCTGTTGTTCACATATTTCTTTATGTGTAGGTGTTTCAATCAGACTTTCAAGATAATATTTTTTTTTATGATATTCTATAGAAATTAAATCATTTAAATTTTTCCATCCCGGATATTGTAGTATCACATTTAATTGACTCATTGTTTTTTTTAGAGAGTATTCTTCTTTTGTATATTGAATCACATAAAATAATAAAAATATAAAATTGAAAAAATTTAATGAAAACATTTTGGAAATTATAAGTAATGATTATCGTTGAAATTTTTTGTACAAAATATAATTCAACGTCAATAGACACGTATTTATAGTGTTCTACTACTATAAATAATAAGAATAATATTTATCATAAGACATTTGTAGTATTTTAATAGAATTGTTGCCTTGTAGACTTTTCGTATATGGCTTAGTTAAATATATTACTATTCAGAGTTTTAGTTTTTTAATGTAATAAGACGCTATAAGGTTAAAAATTAAAACAGAAAATCGGTAATTTTAAATATTAAAATACTAATGTATAATATTTTTATAATTGAAATAATTTGCGCATAGAAAATAACTCTTTGGGATAACTTTTATACTTTGATGAGAAACTGGGGAGATATTATACCTATTAATACCTACTAATTACTATGTTAAGTTTTTTTTGTCTGTCATCACTTTGTTTAGCTCTCACCGAACCAATTTCTTATAGCATTATGTCATAAGATCTAAAATTGTAATAGTTTACAATTATAATTTATATATTTATAACATATAAAAATATAAAGGAAAATTTTACTTTTTAAAAATAATCCATCAATTTTTTAATATTAAAAACTATCTACAAATTTACAATGAAGCCTTTCTTGTGATAGTGATTTTAATTATTGTTAGTTGTCTCTTTACTCTATTACTTTTTTTTTTATATTAGTTATATAGGTATCCTAGACTGTAATTTAATATATATTTAAAGAATGCAAGATTTCCTATACATATTCAAAGTTAAGTAGATAAATTATGTTTTTATATTAATATAAAGTCAAAATTATAAAAATGTGATGAAAATTACCAAATTCAACAATTTGATTTGCAAAAAACTTTATTTCATTTTTTAGGTATAATGTTTGCAATTAGTTACGGTTTGTGGTCTTTTAATGAGTATAATTGAACATTATACCTCTAAAAGTAGTTAAACATGTATGACTAACATAACTACATAAATAGATAAAAAACACAAATAACAATAATGATAAAAACAGCATACTCAATTTCGCACCTAACATAACATAAATTGTTTCAATTAAGCGTATTTGATTCTTATTATTAATTAATAAAATTAGCTTACGTTATACATTTTTTGAGTAAAAAAAAAAAATGTGTAACGCATACAGGGTGTGGTGCATTTAACTTAACGTCGATGTAGTAACCAAACAAGGTGTATGATAAGTGTTTTAGTCTATCCCCGTTTTTTATAGAACGCGTTTAAGAAATGAAATAACAATACAAAATATTGTATATGTGCATTATATTAACCGGTTTTGTGCAGATACCAAAACATTTCGACTTGGGAGGGATGAAATATTCGACAAACTTTTTAACTATAAATACTATGTTGACGATATTCAAAACTATCAGTGTGTTCTCGTTCAGTTTTTAAACACATCGACAGTGTAAAACCAAATCATAAAACAAAATGGCCGCCAAGGTAAGTCCAACTTGGAGTGTTCATCATTCGAACTGATTTTATTTTAATTATATATTTTGTTCGTAACAGATGATCGTATTCGCCGCCTGTGTGGCTTCCGCTCTCTCACAATACGCTGCTCCAGCCTACAAACCCTCATACGCTGCTCCAGGTTACTATTCGCCAAAGCCCTACGCTCCAGAACCCGCATACCACCCAGCACCATATAACTTCGAGTACAGCGTCAACGACCAATACACCTACGACATCAAGAGCCAACAAGAATACTCCGACGGAAACGGATACGTCAAGGGATCGTACAGTTTGGTCGAACCCGACGGTTCCACCCGCGTCGTCGAATACACTGCCGACGACTACAACGGTTTCAACGCTGAAGTCAAGAAAATCGGTGGAGGATACAAGGCTCCATACTCCGCTCCAGCATACAATCCAGCCCCATACTCTGCTCCAGCATACAAACACGCTTACCCAGCACCAGCTTACAAACCATACTAAGCGAAGTCTCGAATAGGCCTAAAATAGTTAGTTATTTATAAAATTCTATGTTTATAATCTTTTTCTTCCTGTCACCTATTGATGACGTTTTGTTGTCTGGGACGTCGGAATCATATGCGGTTGTACACTTGTTTCTGTTATAGATGTAATATCAATGATCTAATTGTACTCTGTAATATATTGTTTTGTAAATAAAAGTCTCTTCATATACCTATTTGTTTTTTTATTTATAATTCATTGCTGTTTTAGGAAAGTAACTATATAGATTACATTAAATTTTATTATAATAATTTAATTTTTATAAAAAAAAATCTACCACTTGTGGTTAATATTATTTAAAATTAAAAATATTTTGCAAAATATTGAAATGCTGTGTGCTTCAATTTAAATATTTAAAAAATTTTCGTAAATTTTTTTATTCTCATGAAATAATGGAGGGGCATTTCGAATGAAATTTGGAATTTCANTTCTCATGAAATAATGGAGGGGCATTTCGAATGAAATTTGGAATTTCATAAAATGGAGACTGCCCTAACGAGAAATCATAAAAAAATTAGTGTAAGACTATCATTATTATTGTTTAATTGTTTTTTTATACATCAATATTGCTGTACTAATATTTAATGTCAAACTATTGATTTTGAATTTTGATTTTAGAAAAACTTCATTGATGTAGTGGTCTAAAACTACAGGTGGTGCAATTTAATTTATTTTTCGTATTAGTCGATTATCTGATTTGGAAGAGATGTTTTGGTGGTCGAAAATTATAAATATATTATATTATAATAAATATAAAAACATTTGTACTCATCATAAAATAAAAATGTATACTGTAATCAACTGAGTATAGTTGAGTTATTCAATATTAAAAATGAACTGTAATAATAATAGGCATTATTTCTGAAATTATTTCTGAACATTATTTTATATTTGTTGTGTTCATATCAGTGTTCTTTTTTGTATTTTGAATAACTGAATAATTAAAGTATGCTAATTTTTATTGTCATGCTCTCTTTTTGATAAGTGATAAGTTAATAATGATATAAGCAATAAATTTTCAAGAGTTACTTACCAAGATCACACTGCCATTGATGTATAGATTACGTTGAAATATTATTATATTTGCACTAACATACAAAACTTAATTTCGTAGGATGGACGATAATAGATCCTTAACAGCTTGGCGTAGACATATTTTGCAAAATTCATTACATGTACTGTTGTGTAAAAATTTAATGTTTTATCAGTTGTGATATGATCTTATGGGACAGACCGCTTTGGTAACTTTGTTTCATTACACCTTACTTTCCTCACCATGAAACAATAGTTAGCATAACAGTATTGACGGTCATCATTAATCATTTATTTTGCCAGAAGCTTATTTGTTCGCAATATGCCTCACTAGACCATGAATCTAAAAATTAGGTTTTTTTTAATTCATTTCACACGTTATAATTACTGATATTTTCTTAGTAACTTAAAGTTGTTCATTTTACGAATAACCTTCTTTTGCAAAATTTATTAATTTACCATAGATAGTGGTAGACATAATTAAATTTTAATTTATATAATTTTTAATGTACTTGATTTTAGCAATTCATGACAATTTTATTTTTTGATATGCTATTAAAATATTGATTTTGAACATTTTATTGAAATGAATTGTGTACAGTATTATTTTAGAAAATTGTCTCGGGAGGGCGCTTTTTTGTCACTACTCATTTCCCGGCCTTATTATTCATTCTATTTGAGTATAGAAATGAGAATAACATCCAAAATATTGATTCGGAAGTTTTTATCATCCAGTAATTTTCTCAATTATAATGCTTTTATTTTATAACCTAGTTAAATATATATGTTGCTAAAAAAGATAAAAAAAGTTGACTGCATAATAAGATATAAGGGATGAACTAAAAAAGGACCAGTCGTGATTTTTGCTGTAGATTAACTTAATCATTGCAACAGTGAAAACTATAATAATCGTCTAGGAAATGTGGAGGAATTTAGAAGGTGAAACCATTTGATCCGTTTAAATTTTAATTGTTTTAATTTCTTATTAGTAAAAAAAATATTATGTTTTGTTAAAATCATTGACATGATAATTTTTAATAAGGCTAGTTATTTAGAAAATATAAAAAGGTGAACTTCCATAATAGTTGTCAATGCATTTTATGGATGCCATCATAAATATAAAGAAAATCCACTATTACTTTAGAGGTCATCAAAACACATTCATTTTTAATTTTGTTGTTAGATCTAATTTGTTACTATCGGTCGAGTAAAATGTGTTTGACGATTATATATCAGTGATTATGTTATATATATATATATTCAACTATAATTTTAGACATGATAATTTATTGAATGAATATTTCACATAATAAAAATTGTGATGCTGTGAACGACTGAAAAGCTCGAGGGACATTTGTGAGTGTCACGGTATTGAAGAAACTCATGTTTGTCGATTTAACGGTACATGTCAAGCACATTTTACCCTTTTTTATTATTTATGCTAGGAATTATTTACCACCCACAAATGGTGCTGCCAATATAAACAGTTTGTACGAGACTATTCTAGTTCATAAGTACTTTTCTGCACAAAGTGCTGACCCAAAACCCTTGTTGTTGCAAATACTGTAAACAAACTATCAATAAAAATGAATTATTCAATTATCGGGTGATTCATTGACTATCTGTTGTAATGAAAAGTCTAAGTAAATTAATATGTCAAAAAATTTTTAATTTCATTTTTGAATAAAAGCTTAGCATACAAGTTTTAATCTGCTTATGATTATTTTAAATGAAAAATATAACGTATTAGTATATAATTCTTTGGTAACAAATAAATAATTCAATAATACGTATAGAAATAATTCTTAGCTATACATTTTGTCTATACTAAAAAAAAAAAAAATTGCCATTCATTTCGACTTCACAATAAGTTTACATGAAATAATTTATCTTTGAAATGCAATTAATAGGAAAATGTATAACATCTATTTTTAAAATTATATAACGTAATTGTAACTGTTCATTTATTAGAAATAAACCGGTATTGCCGGCAAGCGTGGTCGCGTTGACATTGACCCAATAAATGCATTTATATATATGTTTTATGTTATTTTTAATACACCCAACATCTCAGATCATTAATTCGATAAAATAATTGCATGTTCGGTAAACGTTTGGAATAACTGCGTTTTAATATTTTGTATAATATTAATATGCAAAGTAGAATTCATACGCAACATAATAATGTCTAACTATTACCAGTGGTTTTTCAATGGGACTACAACAATTTATCAATGTGATTTACGATAACGGATTGTGGGCGTTACCAAAGCACTTGCTAGACACAATGTCTCCTGGATAGTGTTGCGATACCCAGTCGAAAGTATAATATTAAAAATACAAAATTGTAATTACATCGCGACACAAGTTGTAATTACAATTTTTAGTATCACATTTTTCTAGAAAACGACATTTTGGAACATAAAATGTCATAATATTTTTTTGTAAACATGCGGATGGTTTGATGATAGTTGTATAGACCAATTCATGTGGATTTATCGAAAAATTCATTTTCTGAAATACTCGTATTTTGATTGTTTCGTTGACCTATAAATATTTCATTGAAAACATTACTTTTTTATGTTTTAAATATTAAATGAATAACCGCTCAACGAGTTACGGATACGAGTTTAAAGTGATTCATTTACAAAATATAAAAACGTATTTTACTTGAAATATTAAAAGAACCGTAAAACTAAAAAATTGTCATTGTTAGAATGTGTTTTTCAGTAATAGCAAGCTGATACAAATAGTTCGTTAACAGTGTATTTAAACAATTTGATCGTCATTTATTTAACGTTGATCAAATGACGATCATGTTGTTTTCAATTACAAACAGTAATAAAATATTTTTTAGATAACTTTTAATTATTAAAATCAAATTAACAGTGGGTTTTAAGTGACATTTTATTTTCAAATTTTCAAGCGTGTAGACAAGCTGTCAGCAAGCAATGCCTAACGAAAACCGACCCATTGTTAAAAGTTACGGTAACATTGATTTATTCTTATTATATTTCGGACCATAAAGGACAAGGTTGATAACATGTGTGAAAATAAACTGACGCATATTTTTTTATCGGCAAATCGAGATGGCGTATATTTACAAAATAAATACATTTGTTGATGGAAATGAATTCAGACTAGGCACATACGCAGCTCAATATGAACGCGACGTTTGGCTGAAACAATAATTTACATGATTTCTATGTCGTCATAGAAATTAATAGTTTTGTTCGAATCAGTATTGTTTGTATGGAGCTGGTTTGTAGGCTGGTGCGGGGTAAGCGGGGGCGGCGTAGGCTGGTTTGTAGGCTGGGGCGGAGTAAGGAGCTGGCTTGTATGCTGGGGCGCTGTACGGGGCCTTGTATCCTCCGTCGATTTTCTTGACTTCAGCGTTGAAACCGTTGTAGTCGTCGGCGGTGTATTCGACGACGCGGGTGGAACCGTCGGGTTCGACCAAACTGTACGATCCCTTGACGTATCCGTTTCCGTCGGCGTATTCCTGTTGGCTCTTGACGTCGTAGGTGGTTGGGTCGTTGACGCTGTACTCGAAGTTGTATGGGGCTGGAGCGTATGCGGGTTCTGGAGCGTAGGCCTTTGGCGCTGGGTAAGCGGGGGCGGCGTATGCGGGTTTGTAGGCTGGGGCGGCGTATTGTGAGAGAGCGGAAGCCACGCAGGCGGCGAATACGATCATCTGAAATAGAATCAGAATAAGACCGAGAACGGTTCTAAAGTATCAAATGACATTTCAACTTACTTTGGCGGCCATTGTAAATGATTTGTTTTTGATTTGCTGTATTGATCAAAACGAAACAGATAACTGATGACTTTGTGAGCAGCCACCACGGTATTTATATGCTAAAAGTTTCGGGTCCCCGACAAATCAATCCCTTCCAAAAGGTAATTGCGAACCAGACACTTTCAATCGTGCAAACCGGTTGCAGTGCATTTTGCACTAGTAACGATAGTCGCGAAAATCGTGTACACAGAAAGTATGGCGAATAAAATATCGTTTCAAGGCTGAGCCACGCGGGTTAATTTTGCCTTGCCCCCTATCCGGTGAGCGATATACATTGATTGAATATTTCTTATGTACCAACAAATTCTTTCATTCCTATAGTTCTAAATTTACTCGTGAAAAATGTTTCTCAATGATCAATGTTTCATTGAGTTCTAAACTAATATCTGGATTATAAGGCCGAAACCATAAAAAATATAGTGCGGCTAGTTTATCTATAATTATATACGTCGAATCAATATTCGTGTTTTGTAAATTTAGATAAATTTATCCAAAACACGTCTTAAAAAAAAAAAAAAATACTAATAACTTTTACGAGCAACATTAGTTTAGTCATTTGTAATTTTATGAATTCGTGGACATTTAACAGCGTTAATAAATTCCACTGTCATGTATTATCGGACTTAATATTTTTAGGGTGTAATAAATTTCTAGAGTTTTGAATTAAACATCTCCTTTTATTATACTCCAGGCATAATATTCTCGTTTTACTGTATTTATATCATTCAATGTTTTTAAGAAGTTAAGTGGTGCAAAATGATAGTCTTATACTATAAAAGGAAAAATATCTCATAATTAACATCTAGCATTTTTATATTTATTCCAATAAATCATGTTGTAGATTTCCAGCATTAGTGTTTACCGCGAGCATTTTGTAGTTGTAACTGCCATTCTAATAAATAAATAACGGACTTGGATTAGTTTTTTTTTTAAGTTTGCTCAATAACATTTTTATATTATTGCCAGAATTAGAGATATTCGACGTTAAGATTTTCTTTAATTTCGCAATATTATTTTTTAATAAAATATTACTGTAAAAACGTGTAATCATTAAAATTTCATTATTTAATTATTGATGAATTTTTTTATCTTTGTTAATGTACCGGGAATGCAAAAACGATCAGAATTCAAATGATTTTATATGTTTAAGATAATTTTTGATTTTCAATGAATTCATAATAAAAACATTTTTCACTTGTGTATAATAATTATAATATAATTTTATAAATATTGTTTTGACCAATGTTTAACGCGTGTTATACAAAACGTTCTCCAGTAACACATGTTAAGTAAAATATAATGAATTATAGTTATCGGCTATATTATTACATGATTTTTATAATTAAACAAATAAACGCAGCCCAACTCCATTTCGGTATTATGACTCGCCTTTCTCCGTTATTATCTGGTTTGACCAATTGTTTAAATGATGAAATAACTTTAATACACCCGAAAACTTTACCATCAATATTATATTATACTCTTTGTTAACTATAATCGGTATACGGAAACCATAACGCCGCTTGACCTGTCTAACGAAATGTGCATAGATTTAGGCAACTTCGTCGTTGATTTGCACACATCATTATTTATGTCGATACCTTATAGTCTTGAACGACATTTTCAACTCTCAAGTTTATTAAAATCTCGTTAATATTAACAACAAGGGTTGCCGTGTATGAGTTAAGTGCCAATTACGAACTCGGGCGCTTATAAAATAATCAATATTATTACCATCGCAAACACAGACATAACCAAATCGGTAAGTGGTCATCTTGTATAAGCACAGTGTCTGACGGTGAACGTTCTGTATCAAACCTTGACCCTATAATCTGGACAATCGTTGAGCTAAGCGTGATTTTGATTTGTTTACACTATCAATTAATATAATAACCATGTGGTGTGTACCATTGTACAGGCCAATGAAGGCACTTTTAGTAAAAAGCCTCAAGCTCTATTTAAATAAAATACAATAATTTCTTTAATCAATAGGTTCATATAGAATCATTTTAATACAGAAACAAGTTTTTACAAAAAGCTCTGATTATTTCCTAAAAAAAATTCAAATAAAAATTAAATATATGCGCATCATATGCATATATATATATATTCAAATTTAACTGAATGTAATACATTGCAACGCGTGTTATTGCTGAAATTCATCAGATATAATTGAACAATGTTTCATACGTGTAAAAGTCAAGATAAAAATAAAATAAACTTACACTCGACGTAATTGTAATTATAATAAAATGAATTTTCATTTATATTGCTTTTAGAATTAGGTTAGTGATGTTGTTAAGGGAAATACTGCGAATAAGCCACGAGTGTCATTTCAATTTTAGACAAGGCCACCGAAGTGACCATCATGTATTTATTAGAGGTAGGTCTGCTAATGAAAGGGGCGGTTGTGGTGGTGGGGGAATCACTTAAGGATTTTATCGCCAAAATTAATAACACATAATTTTAGGTATGCAAATTTATACATTGAGTCCAACAAAAATTGTACACTAAAATATTGTTATTATGTGTAAATATTAGTGTACGAACGAAAAATAAGCGCATATTTTGCAGTTTTTTTACTAAAACACCACTTGTTCTAAATCTTTTTTTAACGATTCACTAAAAGCGTTTAAATAAAATAAGTTAAAATTAATCTTAACGGTGTGTACTTAGAAAAGAGAATTCCTAAAATTGTTTAAAAACAATCTTAAATTTGATTATGTGATTGGTTACAACGTTTGTGTTTGAAAATTGCAGTATCTTAATGAATACAAGGAAATATTTAAATGATTTTCCGAATAAAAAAATAATAATTTCCTTTTCATTTGTGAAGTTCGATAACACAACCACACGACTGGTAATCAATCGTCATTTTGTATACACACATATCATTCCCATCACAGTAATAGTACCTGCCAATAAATTGTATATAGCGGTACGGTTTACAAAAGAAATAATCGCCGACATGGAATATTGGCGTAAAATACCAAATAACCACATAACTATAACAATAGTCAGGTTTTCAAGGAGGAATGTGCCGGTGGTTAGCATTGCACTATTCGGAGTTAGGTCGTGTACTGAGTGGACAGTGATTTGAAAGTTCTATGTGCACTAATTAAAAACCATGTTTCCCTGAGGTCATGTATTCTCACAAATATTTATTTCACACTTATGTCAACACATTTCACTTAAATTCAATTCATTTATGCAAAAACTGCTAGAAATATTCACTATAAATCATCGTTGATATGTTCGTTGTATTGACACATTAGAAATTTAAGTATAAATAAAAAGGGAATAATAACTCTGTGTATAACATTTTAAAGAGCACATTTTATGAAAAAAACCACCTTTATTTTTAACCAAATGAAACTATTTCCAGAAATAAATGTTATAAATATTTTGTTCACAGAACAGTAAAATCTAAATAACGCTATTAGTATAAGATTAGATTTGATACTCAAATAAAATATTTCATAAAAAATGTCTAAAAAACAATCAAAATGTGCAATAGTAAAAGTGTGGTGCATTAAACTGACCGTCATCGTAGTAATCGTACGAGGCGTAGGGTTATTTTGAATCACGATGTAAAAATCGAATATTTAAAGATACGTGTTGTTGTCGTTAGGGTTACGAGGTATTGGTTTTATTACTGATACTAACTTAACTAACACTGATTTATTTTAATAATAATGATAAAACATTTTTTTATGTTTGATAATGCTGAGACAATATTTGATTGTAGCATAACACAATTACTTGATAAATTACTTAAAAGGTTGGATTGGCTGTTTTGAGCGAATGTAAAATTCAAAATGACCAAGTTTAATATCGATAATAATTGAAGATTTACGAAAAACAAAGGGTAGACAAACACTATCCATAGCATGACAGTGACACAATATTATCGTTCAATGAAAGCTGTTTCTAATTAAAAACACTATGTGACATATAGGGTTGGTACTTTATTTTTTAACAATCACAAATATTTTCAAGACTTTTTTTGTTTTACTTTTACTTTTCATTTATCAGACAAAACAGTATAATGTGATGTCATAAAATATACACACTTTTGATACAATTTAAAAAACGCATAATTAGTATTATTTTTACAATAACTTTTACAAAGTACTTACGAAAAAAGTGTATGTTGCTATATACGTTTTTTTAAAATTTACAAAATATAAAGTTAAATATATAAAATCGGGAATTTTAACACTCAAATAACAGTTATTTGTACATAGAATATGAACACTTTTATATATATACAAAATTAAAGCTAATGAAATTAACTTTATTATGCAAAAAAAAAATTTCGGACTTTATTTTGTCTTCACGGTGAAAATAGTCACTGTATTCAAAAATATGCTAATATTGTATTTTAATTCTGGGTTTTGTATTTTATTTTATTTTTATATACCTTACAAGGGGTATATACAGATTTTCAAAATAATTATATATTATTATGTGAAAATTCTCGATTTCATTTTTTACATTTTTAACTTTAAAATAATAACTTATTATAGCCATAAGTTATTGAAAAGTGTATGAATCAACACAATATTTTTATGAGAAATAATATTTTTTAATAATCCCTTTTTCATTCGACATACTTTAACTTAATCAGGATATCAATAAAGGAACTAGTAGATCATGTAGCTTTTGGAATAATCTAACAATGTTTCAAAATTAAACACCATCTAAAGATTTTCATAGAAGCGTTTTTTTTTTTATAGTGCTTTTAATCACTGTTAGATATCATTATACTTGATACAACTATGCTACGTCACCACTGTGCCGCGACCTCCCTGTGCTGGGTTTTTTTTTTGTGTTTGTTACTACTTTTTCTCAGCTCCCGCCGGATCGATTTCTATCAACGATACGTCAATGGATCACAAATCGTATCTAATAGAAGACATTATTCTCAAAAATTGAAAACATTTTCCTCGTTCCTCGTAAATGGGGAAATTTGCCAAAAAAATAACAAATTTGAAAATCACTAACATTGACATTTTTTCATTTTTATTTATTTAAAATTGCCATAACTTTTTTAAAAATGACCAAATCTATATAATTTTTATTTATATAGATACGTGAGGTACTTACCTATTATAAGATATTAATTTTACTATGATATGTTTTTTTTTTATTTTAGCTTCGATTCGTTAATTTTACTATGATGTCTTATAATCAATATAATTTTTTTTTATAGATGCACGATATCTTTACCTATCATTTAGGTAAGTACCTCACGTATCTATATAAATAAAAATTATATAGAATTGGTCATTTTTAAAAAAGTTATGGCAATTTTAAGAAAAAAAAATTGAAAAAATATCGAAAATTAGTGATTTTTAAATTTGTAATATCTTTGAAGGTTTCCACCATTTACGAGGAACGAGGAAAATTTTTTCAATTTTTGAGGGTATGTCTTCGACTAGATAGGATTTGTGACCTTTTGATGTATTTTTGAAAGAAATCGGTTTGGTGAGAGTTGAGAAAAAGTGGTTGGGTTGGAAAAATCACATTATAATAAAACTAATATCTTCTCAGCCTCTAATCGAATGTAAAATACAATTTTTATAAAAAAATTTTTTTTTATAATTTTAACTTTTTAATGCCATAACTTTATAAAAATGACCAAATCAATATAATTTTATTTATTATGATACATGAGATTATGCAATATACTTTAGCATGGAAAAAAAAATTTTGATTTTGTATTTTATTTTGAATTACCTAATATAAGTTTTTGAGTTAGAAAAAAATGTTTAACTCCTTTTATTTTTATCTCATTTAAATTCAATAACAATAAATATCGAGAACCCCATCACTGTAGTCCCCCTTCATTTAAAAAAAACATTTTGATTGTTTTTTTTAGTTAAAGTAAATCATTAAAATAAATTATATTCTGAATATTTCAATTGAAAAATATTTTGAATCACCAAAAATCACTTAAAAATTATTACTATGATTTCTATTAAAGTGTTATATTACTATAAAAATGAAAAAAAATATAAAGCTTTTCTGATAAATTTATAGTTAATAGTTATTTTAGCTTCGATGCGAAGCTGAGAAGGTATTAATTTTACTATGATGTGTTTTTTTTTTTATTTTTTTAGCTTCGATGCGAAGCTGAGAAGGTATTAATTTTACTATGATGTGTTTTTTTTTTTATTTATTTATTTTTTTTTTTGTGTCTGTGAACGCTCAATCTCAGCTCTCGCTGGACCGATTTTGATGAACAATATGTCAAAAGATCACAAATCGTATCTAGTCGAAGACATTACCCTCAAAAATTGAAAAAAATTCCCTCGTTCCCCGTAAACGGGGGAAATCCCCCAAAAAATTACAAATTTAAAAATCGCTAATTTTCGATATTTTTTCAATTTTTTTTACTTAAAATTGCCATAACTTTTTTAAAAATGACCGAATCAATATAATTTTTTTTTTTATAGATACCTTAGATAATTACCTATCATTTTATATATTTTTGTGAACATTTGACCCTTTAACAGCCCAAAGGATGGGGTTTCAAAATGGTAACTTTTTTACAAAAAATTAACTTTTTCAACTTAACTTTTGAAAATGTTCCGGAAAGACTGACAATTTTATATATACCTTAAATTAAAGCTAATGTAATATACTTTAATTTGAAAAAAAAAAATTTGACCTCTGGACTTGTCTTCATGGTGAAAATGACTGTCATGGTGAAAAATATGCTATTTTTGTGAAAAAATTCTTGATATTATATTTTACATTTTTTAACATTATGTTGCTATAACTTTTTAAAAAATGCATGAATCAACTTTATTCTTTAATGATAAATACTTTATATATACTTCTTTCATTCGACATACTTTTTTTTAAAATCGGACCATTTCCCTTTATACAGGGGGGGTGCAAACCTTTTAAAATGCGTATAGAAAGTAGAACTTTTTCAACTTAACTTTTGAAAATGTTCCGGAAAGACTGACACTTTTATATATATCTTAAATTAAAGCTTATGTAATATACTTTAATTTGAAAAAAAAAAATTTGACCTCTGGACTTGTCTTCGTGGTGAAAGTTGACATCAAAGTTAATAAAAAATTACGATTTTTGTAAAATAATTTTTTTTTATATTTTTAACTTAATAATGCTCTAACTTTTTCAAAAATGAACATATCAATATAATTTTTTTTTATATAGATGCTTGATGTCTTTACTTATCATTTGGTATATTTTTTTTGTAAATCTGACACTTAACCTGCCCACAGGGGGGGATTTAAAATGACAACTTTTTCACAACAAATTTACTTTTTCAACATAACTTTTGAAAATGTTCCGGAAGATCTGACACTTTTATATATATCTTATATTAAAGCTTATGTAATATACTTAAATTTTGAAGAAAAAAAATTTGACCTCTGGACTTGTCTTCATGGCAAAAATGGCTACCGAATGCTTTTTTCGTGTGAAAATTCTCGATTTTTCTTGATATTATATTTTACATTTTTTAACATTATGTTGCTATAACTTTTTAAAAAATGCATGAATCAACTTTATTCTTTAATGATAAATACTTTATATATACTTCTTTCATTCGACATACTTTTTTTTAAAATCGGACCATTTCCCTTTATACAGGGGGGGTGCAAACCTTTTAAAATGCGTATAGAAAGTAGAACTTTTTCAACTTAACTTTTGAAAATGTTCCGGAAAGACTGACACTTTTATATATATCTTAAATTAAAGCTTATGTAATATACTTTAATTTGAAAAAAAAAAATTTGACCTCTGGACTTGTCTTCGTGGTGAAAACGGACATCAAAGTTAAAGAAAAACGTACGATTTCCGTGAAAAAAATCTCGATTTTATATGTTATATTATTTAATTTATATTTTATATAACTTTTGGAAAAATGTATGGATCAATATTATTATTTTTTTATAATAAATATTTATATACCCCTTTCATCTGGCACGCTTTTTTTGTAAATCGGATCATACCCCTTTAACAAGGGGGGTCAAAACTTTAAACATGCGTATTGTTACTACGATATTTTCAATTTAATTTTTGAAAGTATTCCGGAAATACTGACACTTTTAAATATATCTTAAATTAAAGCTTATGTAATATACTTTAATGTGAAAAAAAAAAATTTGACCTCTGGATTTGTCTTCATGGTAAAAATGACTACCGTATGCAAAAATATGCTATTTTTGTGTTAAAATTCTGGGTTTTGTATTTTATTTTATTTTAAAATACCTGACAAGGGGAGTACAGATTTTCATAAATATTATATAAATTAAAATTGATATAGTATAGATAGTTAAACTTATTTAAATATGTTTGTTTCTTTTAAGTCGAGAAAAATAACTTTGAAATTTGAACTAGCTTAAATAGCCAATTTTTCAACCGCCGGAAGCAACGTACGGTTGCCGAGTTGGTAAAATTTATGTTTTACACGCTTGGGGTACGAGGTTCCAACCCGCATATGGCAATGAATTTTTTGCATTTTTTCTTAATTCTTTTTAAGTTAGTATAAATTTTAACTCGTTTGATTTTTATCACATTTAGATTCAATAACTTCAATAAAGATCAAGGATCCCATCACTTTAGTCGCCCCTTGCAAGAAGAAATTTCTTATTCGTATTAAAATTATTTTACTATATTTTAAGTTTTCGCTTCGATGCAAAGCCGAGAAGATATTTTTTTGTGACTATCATTTATTTTCTCTGCTCTAACTTGACCTACTTTTTTCAACAATACGTCAAATTACTACAATTCGTATCTAGTTGAAGATATTACTCTCAAAAATTGAAAAAAAAATTCTAATTTATCAATTAAACAGTTAGTTATTACATCGTCTCCATAAAGACAATTAAAATCATTAATTTCTAATGTTTTCAAAATATTTATTAACGAATGAAGTTTGATATGATAGGTTTCAACTACAAAATTAAATCATTTTACTTTGTAATTTAATAATTTTATTACTCTGTTTGTGTGTGCTACTATTAGACTATAATATTCAAATTTTTTTCTAACGTGTTGCTATATAAATCATTTCTAAAAAAAATGATTGTTTTTTCTCCTGAATTAACAATTGATTTTTACAAATATAATCAAATTTTATAATAAACTCAATTGAGTAAATCTTTTTAACAACTTTGTTTTGATTGGTACATTTAGTTAAAGTAAATCATTAAAATTAATTAAGTTCTCAATATTTCAATTATAGAATCTTTTCAACAAACAACAAAAGTTCCTAGGAAATTATTACTATTACTTCTATTTAAGTTATCTATTACCATAAAAATGCAAAAAAATATTGAGCTTTTCTGATAAATTTACAATAAATAGTAATTATAAAACTTTCTGACTGCATATTGATCTTAACGATACAATTTTTTTAATTGTCATAAAATTTTCTATTTAATTATGTCAATGTCAAACTTACCAATTGAGCTAAAAGTTATGGTAAAATAAATTTTTTTTTTTTTTTATAAACATTTACAACAATCAACTTTAAACGATTAACAAAATTGGTTAAATATGTCATTTTCCTTATTTTTAACTTATTAATAATCAAATTAATATTAAATATTATATCAAATCAGTATTAATTTAAAACAATTTTTTTTGTTCTTAATTATTTTTTTTTATATGTAAAAACTATTTTTTAATAATATTAAAACTTAGAAGTTATAGAAAAAGTCTAATTGCACATTTTAAAACATCGCGAAAAGTTGATTTAGAATAGTATATTTTTGTTTCTGATGGAAGTTCCTTGTAGTCCAGTGTATAAAACTTATAACTTTGTTAATTGTTATAACTTTATCAAAAATGACCAAATCAGTATATTTTTTTTTATTTAGATGCATGTCTTTATCTATCATTTGGTTTTTTTTATAAATCTAACCCTTTACCTGCCCACAAGAGGGATTCAAAATATTAACTTTTTTTTTTTTAGTTAAAGTAAATCATTAAAATTAATTCAGTTCTGGATATTTCAATAGTAGAATCTTTTTAAATATCAAAAATTACTTAGAAATGATTACTATGATTTCTATTTAAGTGTTCTATTACGATAAAAATGCAAAAAATAATGAGTTTTTCTGATAAATTTACAATAAATAATAATTATAAAACTTTCTGACTGCATATTAATCTTAAAAATAACATTGTTTTAATTCTCATAAAATTTTCTATTTAATGATTCATTCTAGTCAACGAAGGAGTAATTTTGCAGAAT